TGTCCAATGAGAAAGGCTGAAATTCCAAGCGGGAGGCTGGAAATATTGGGGAGTTTATAACCCTTTGTGTGAGAGCATGGTAATTTGCATATGGAACTCGAATCAAAATTACTAAAGATTCTTAGAACACTAATATATTGCCTATGTACCCACATATAATATAAACACTAATTTAGATCATCAGAAGACAAATTCAAAGAGGCCAAACATGGTATCAGTGGGGCTATATTAACTGGTGATCTATCATAACACACACACAAAATAGTATACAATTCAAAAGACAATATAGAAGAACAGTAATGGTATACACAATGTCCTGAGGAGATGTGTGTTCATTCACAGAAAGGTTTTCCTATGAATTAATTAGAGAAAAGTCTGTACCCAGTGGAAAACCCCCCCAAAAGTGAACCGTACCGAGCAGTACCGTGCTGTACCATGCAGTGGAAAAGCGCCATTAGATGCATTTCGGGGGAAGGGTCCATAGATCCTCATAGTTGGTTTGTTGACTGAGGGGTGTTACAGAGTATTTGTTAAATATAATTTAAAAAATTGTGTAAATGGTGTATCCAGACGCTGCACCAGACTCTGAAGAGATGGCAGAACTCATCGAGGACCTTAATGTGGAGAATGTGGAGGGCTTCGAAAAGCAAAGAGAGAGCTGTTGATGTCCCAGGGTTGGCCTGCGCTGACAGATGACGATGCCAACAAGCATCTGACCAGGGAGGAGCTGGCTCTACATTGCCGGAGGAGGACCCGTGGAGAGGAGACTACCATCCTTCACCTTGAACGACTGCTTACCGAGCTCCTGAGCAGCAAGGGCAATGACTCCCTGGGTGTTCCTCTCCTGGACCGAGAAAGGATGGAGCACATCTGGAGTGTCCAGAAGAAGCACGTCAAGTGTATCCAAGACCCCCCTGGTGTTGCGCTCTATACTGAGACCGGGAGCTTAACCAAGGGAGGTGTGCTTCTGAAGACATACAGATGTGCCAGAGGCTCCACTTCTCTTGAATCCTTTCATTTACACCTTAACCGTTTCATCCCAGGTACGTCTTTGTCACACACACTGTGCGTATGTAAAGAAAGAACATTAAGTGTCTTTGTGTGTTTAACACTCCCTAAAAACTGTTGTGTCGGTTTACAGGGACCAGTGCAAACAGTCTGAACTTTCAGATTTATTTGCTGGAGGGTCTACACCGGTGGAACCAGGATCGGGAGGCTGCTTCGCTGTCATCGGAGCCATCAGCTTTGCGCAGCTACACAGGAGAACTTGTTCACTGTGTAAACCGCAATTATGAAAAGCTGTTTGGCAGGAAAGTGGTCCCCACGTTTTGTCCTCCTGCACGTTACACCGGTAAGAATTTATTATTGTTAATTAACTTGCAATTTCTGTGTAATCTCAGGCGATATTTTATATTTAAGCCTATGAAGTCTACTGTATCTGTGTTTTAGACCTCTAAATTATCAACATGATCAAATTTTTTTCTTGAAACATGCCCTCTTGTCATCTGATTGATATTTTCTATCAAGTAAAAGGCCTTTCAGTATAATTGTACAAACGTCTACCTCATACTTCACATGTCATTTTGCTGTGAAATCTTTACTATTAGAAAGTAATTGTTATTTTTAGAAAGAATAACTTGGATATTATTAGTAATATTTGGTGACCATTTACTGTACTGAGTATAGGTTTATGGCCTCTGAATTTTTTTTTTCTCTTCGACTATGAGCTCCATGTTCTCACACTTACACTATATGAGCTACAACAAATGCCTTATGTATCAAATATGATACACAACAATTGTATTTAATTCCTGTTTGTTTTTATTCCAGGTGAGCTCATTGGAGTGCAGTATCTGTTCCAGCAGACTGGACAGGCATTGCAGGACATGAACCCAGACTCTGAAGAGACGGCAGAACTCATCGAGGACCTTAATGTGGAGGAGCGAGAGGAAGATGAGGGCTTCTGTGACATCAGCGAGGATCACACCATTGCAGATCCAGAGGTTGTTCTGTCACCACCCTCCTCCACACTGACACTGGGTTCTTCCACCCTGGTCACCAGCAGTGACACGGCTGTACTGGGTTCTACATCCCCTTCACTGGTCCCTGACCCCACACAGTCTCCTTCATCACCTGGACCCTCAGGGACTGCTGTCTCACCGGTTCCCTCTGAAACATCTGTTTCACCACTCCCCTCAGAACCAGAGGATGCTGGTCAGGATGATGATGAAGAGACGGTAAGTGCCACTCCTCTGTATTTCTTTCAAATAAACTAGAATAATTCAAACAAGGATGGATCAACATCTACTTCTTACTACTGCTTTAAATCCAGACTTTGCTCAGATTTTAAACTAAAGTCATTAGTAGGCAACAAAGATGCATCGAGTCAAATCAGTTTTATTCCGTTAGTGCTTTGTACTATACAGATTGTGTGAAAATAACCGAATCAATGGAACTATGCATCAAACAAATGTGATGGGAAAAAAATTATATTTTGTGCTTGTGTTTTTTAATAGGCTGTTGACTACCAAAATGTCCCGGGATATCAACATGTGGACAGGCTGGCAGAATATCTGGTGGAGCTCCGGGGTCACACAGCCCTCAGCCTGGCCAATCAGGAAGCTAACGCCATAATTGCACTTTGGCAGAACCTGGATGACCGGGACAAGCAACGGTTGGTGTATGCAGCTCGACACCAGAAGAGACTGCTGAGTGGACGCTTCAGAGTACCAAAGAGGCCCACTCACACCCCTGGAGTAGAGAGCACCATCAGAAGTGTGCTGGGTGCAAGCAGTGCACCTGCTCAGTGGCCTGACTGTTGCCGTCTGGTGGAGACCATTTTCATCAGGCTTTGCACAATTCACCCAAGCCCCAAAAGAAAAGGCAAGGGAACGCTGTCGAGATGGTCTCTGATCCTCCAAGACTACAGAAGGATAAGGCAGCTTGTACTGGGCAACAGCTTGGTGATGGGAGGAACCTCAATGCAGCTGGTGGAGGTTAACCAGAACACCCTGATTCAGTGGTACAACAACAGGCAGAAAAAGCAAGAGCTGTCTGTGCTGCTTCAGGGCATTCAGTTGCCTCAGCCCCTCCCTGAAGCTCAGGAACCTCTCCAGGCTGCCAAACGCCCACGGACTGAGCCAGAACAACCAGGGGAGCAGCACCAGTACAAGCTACCAGAGAGCCCAGCAGGTCAGGCAAAGCAGAGGCAGACTTCTACTGGACGACCCCCTCTCAGACCCAAGGCACCAGCTCAGAGTCCTATGTTGGTTACGCCATCAGCACCTGGAGCATCACTGCAGATGGTACCCAACATACTTATACCAGCAGCACCAGGTTTCCAGGGTGTGCCGATGCTTCAGGGTGTGCCAGTATTCCAGGGTCTGCAAATGGTTCAAAGACTGCCGATGGTCCAGGGAATGCAAATGGTTCAGGGGATGCCGATGGTTCAGGGAATCCCGTTGGTACAGGGGATGCCAATGATACAGCCACTGTTACAGCCTACAGTTGTGCAGGGCACCAGTTCACAACCTGCTGCGCCAGCTGCCAGTCCGCAAGCCATGCCCAACGCCACCCCCGACCAAAAAGCCATGCCCAAGAGACCCTGCAAGAGAACTGTAGAGGCAAACACTTGCAAGAAGTGCGGACAGTTCAAAACCAGTGCAACGGGACATAGCCAGTACAGGGGCAAGGTGTACTGCCCACGGACTGAGACTATTACAAGAGAACAGTGGTTTGAGCAAATGCGGAGAACTGTTCCAAAATAATGTACATATTTTTATTTATTGTAGTGTATATAATTGTTTAAATATAGTTCACTATTGTTAATATTTGTGTTGAACATTTTTTAACGTTATTTTTTAAACATTATTTAATATTTAACTTTTTATTTACTGTTTTTTAAATCATATTTAACTTTAACTTATTGTTGATATTCACTGTTTTATTTACCTTTTAGTTGTTGTTTGAAAACTTATTTATTATTTAATTTAATATTCATTACTGTTCTGTTAGCATAATTGTAAAATAAAAAAAATTGAGAAATAATTGCTTTTTTTATTTGTGCTTTAATATAACAATATTTCATCAGTACACTGCAAATTGAGAAATGATTGCTTTTTTATTTGTACTTTAATATAACAATATTTAATCAGTACACTGCAACAATAGAACATATGTCTATTAAAAGATAATTTGCATTTTGTCATTCTTTTCACAGACATTTTTCAGCATATTAATTACTATTTTGCATCTTTTTTTCATTAGAAATAACATGCTTGTAAGTGTCTTGAATTAATGTAACCTAAAAAAAATGCTTAATCAGAATAATATCAATACAACTACTAAATAACTAATAATAACAACAAAACACATTTCCATTGGTATAGTTTAATTTTCATGAAAGAATAACAAACTAAGTACATATGTACATTTTATTAACCTTGAAAGTTCATGTATTTAATGAAATTAACAATATTACAAAAAGTTGTCTTTAGCTGGATTCGAACCCCAGTCTTGGTGAGCACCTGCAATAGGAAAAAGACATTTTTCAGCATATTAATTACTATTTTGCATCTTTTTTTTTTCATTAGAAATAACATATTTGTAAGTGTTTTGAATTAATGTAACCTAAAAAAAATGCTTAATCAGAATAAATAATATCAATACAACTACTAAAAAATTAATAATAACAACAAAACACATTTACATTGGTATACTATAATTTTCATGAAAGAATATCAAACAAAGTACATATGTACATTTTATTAACCTTGAAATTTCATTTATTTAATGAAATTAACAATATTACAAAAATTGTCTTTAGCTGAATTCGAACCCCGGTCTTGGTGAGTACCTGCAATAGGAAACAGTGTAATATAAATGCACGATTTTCCTGCATGAAGAAACTGGAAAATGTATCACTGCGCACATGCTAAGGAAGAACTTTCTTTGAACGTTAAATTTCACCCTTTCTTTCCTTCATTTCTCCTTTCTCTTCTTCCCCTTCTCTTTTTCTTCCTTTCTTCCCCACCTTTGACAGACTATTGTTCACCAGCTTTCAGACCATCGCCTTAACCACTCGGCCACCTCGTCACTTTGCACGTTTCCATTATTTAACACAGATGCAAAGCACAATGGATTAGCAGTCCATAGCCTTAACCACTCGGCCACCTCATCATGCATTTACTTTTATGACTGAAATCTGCACTGTGGTGGTTTTTCTGCAGCTCCTTTTAGCACATTGGCGTTGACCTTTAAGCCAAAAGAATACTTTATTTTTGAACGTGTACACTAGCTTATGCATACAGTTGACATATAGACTTTCAAAGTCCTTTTGTTTGCGTGCTCTCTGTAAAGTTTCATCTTTGTCCAGCCTTTATGACTGATATGTCTTTGAACTCTTTCAAACTAAAGTTGCTGCTATCTCATGACCCCCTCACACAAGTGCTTGTCAGTGTGGGCATCTGTTGTTGCAGTCCCCATTGTTATATCTTTTTAGGAGCACTGGGCCCCCTTCAAATGCTAGGGAACATAAAGCGACGAGGATGGCACAATGGATTAGCAGTTCATCGCCTTAACCACTCGGCCACCTCGTCCCATCTGAAGTCGTGCTTTTCAGCCACACTCATTGACAGAACAGAGACCAGGTTCAGCATAACGTGTTGTAAATGGTTGGGTGGATTCAAAATTTAACTCTACAACTGAGCTGCAAGGAACATTGGGTTCTAGGGGATAGGGGCCTCACAGTGGTGTTGAAAGAGAGAGAGATGTGCTTCTGATTCTTTTATGTGCTGTTCTGCTTTGTGGGAAAGAACATTGAGAGAACACATGAGTTTAGAAAAAGGTAGGCACATTTGACACGGGACCACCCTCAGAACTTGTTTGCAGTATCCTTGCACTCTTCTGTACCCTACCCGTCCCCCCTGGGGGCTCGTTGAATCGAATCGTTCCTGACCTCGGCCACGAGCTTTAGAACTCCACCCCTTTGTTACCAGGATACCCATAATTCTCTCCCCGCAGGGTTCAGGAAAGCAACGCTCACACTTCTTTTAATTAAAGCGAGAACAATGAATAAGGCTTCTCGTACATGTTGCTAGCTGGATTCGTAGACACACCACGCAGCCATCAGTGCCAGAAGACTGATTACACTGCAGTTTGAAGCTTGTTACCACCCTGTCGTTCCACGTCCGCATGGGTGCACGGGAGAGGTCGCGACCGTCTCTGCCATTCTTTCGCAGAGGCAATATCGTAGCTTATGAGGTACATCCGAGGCGCGATTATTGCTGGTTGAAAACTTTACCCAATACCCCACCAGGATGACTTGAAATACAGTCAGCCTTGGCAATTTTTGCCTGCTTCTCTGGAAGCTTAACATCTTCTTGTCAAAAGAGGTTCCTTTTATGTTTCGTGCTGCATTATCTTCGGTGGAATAAGGCAGAATCAGAAGGTGGTGTTTAGAGCACAGTGGACTAGCAATCCATCTACTTGACCAATCGGCCACCTTGTCACCCTGCGTGCCTCCATTATTTAACACACCGTATTCAGATCATCAGCTTGTTAGTGGAGCACTCATTAAACTGAATGTGTCACATAAGGAAGGTACACCAAAGGTGTATAGCAGATTAACAATCACCGTTAACCGCAAGGAACGACGAGGATGGGATACGATCCCACGCATGCAGAACACAATGAATTAGCAGTCCATCGCCTTAACCACTCGGCCACCTCAGTTCAGCATAACGTGTTGTAAATGGTTGGGTGGATTCAAAATTTAACTCTACATCTGAGCTGCAAGGAACATTGGGTTCTAGGGGATAAGGGCCTCACAGTGGTGTTGAAAGAGAGAGAGATGTGCTTCTGATT